ATCAGAACTGACAAGACTCCTACGGATAGCACACAAACCAACAGCCACACTTTGCCAGTTACTCTCAAAGACAAAAGACCCCATACCCACAAATGTGATATATAAAATACCATACAGCAACTGTGAGAAACATTACATAGGACAGATGGGCAGGAAACTGACCACTAGGATATATGAACACCAACTTGCAGCAAAATGGCATGACCAGCTCTCCCACATTTCAATACACCCCGATATAGAAGGACATCAGTTTAACTGGGGCAAAGTTACAGTACTAGGACAAGCAAGATAAAGACAAGCACAAGAATTCCTGGAGGCCTGGTTTTCAACCACTGATGCAATAAACAAACATGTTGAAATAGACCCCATCTATATACCACTATGGTACAAACCCAGAAACAAGACTGCCAACCATGACAGACCGGACCATATAAATTTAGAGCAGGACAGAACAACAGTGCTTCAACGGAGGCTACACAGCACTAACGATGTCACCTAGAAGGGGAACAAAATGTTTGTGTGAAAACCAGCCAGCCTGGCCAACCAACAACTCCAACCACAAAACAAGCTACAGATCTTCATTAAAACTTTAAATGGGGAACACAGAAATAGCAGTGACACTAAACCAATATTCTGCCTCAAATTTCATGGTGGAGGACTCAAACGATCCCAACAGTACCAGACAATGCAGAGATTATAGAAAAGGATGAACTTAAAGCAATTGCCATCACTAGCGGAAATGTTCTAAGCAAACTTGGGATTAGAGGCAGGCAAGTTCCCAGGGCCTGATGGCCGACATCCTACATTTTTAAAGAAAGTGGCAGCAGAGATAGGGATACATCGGCTATGATATTCCAACATTCCTAAATTATGAAAGGATCCAGTGGATTGGAAAAATGTTAATGAAATGCCCTTATTCAATAATGGCAGGAGACTGAAAGGAGGAAACCATGACATATTAGTTTAACTATTAATGGGAAATTGTGGGAATCCATTAAAGAAATAGTAACAAAACATTTGAAAGTCAAAATGCAATCCAGAGTCAGCTTGGTTTAAGAAGAGTAAATCATGTTCGACTAATTTGCTGCAGAGCAAATTCTTCAAAGATGTAACAAGCAATGTAGGTAATGAAGGTCTTGTAGAATGGAGTAGATACTGAATCCCAGAAGGCATTTGATAAAGTGCCTCACCAGGTTAATACATCATATAAGATCACATGGGGTTAAAGGTAATAATATATTAGCATGAAGAGAGGATTGGCTAACCAACAGAAAGCAGAGACTTGTGGGGATAAATGGGTCTTTTTTCTGGATGGTAAACTGTGAATAGTGGGGTCCAACAGGGTTTGATCCTTGACTTCTAACTATTTACTATTTTTCAACATCTAGATTAATGACTTGAATGCAGGGGAAAAAATATACAATAGCCAAATTTGCAGATGACACTAAAATAGGTTGGAAAGTAAGTTGCAATAAAAAATAAGTTTATAAATGGATATAGATAGCTTAGTTGAATAGACCTAAATTTGGTAAATGGAGTTTAACATGGAGATGTGCAAGGTTATCTGACTGATGAGAAGGTGAGTAGGCTGGGCCTGTATTCTTTGGTAAATAGAAGAATAAGAAGCAATCTTATTAAAACATACAAGATTCTTAGTGGACTTGATAAGGTCAATGTGGAAAGGTAGTTTTCCACTATGGGAGTCTAGGACTAATCAGCATTCTCTCAGAATAAGGGGTCACCCATTTAAGACAAAGATAACAAGGAATTTCTTCTCTCAAAGGATTGAAAATCTGTGGAATTCTTTACCAAAGAGGTAAAGGCTGGATTATTAAGTATACTCAATGCGGAGAGAAATTTTTAAACACTAATGGAATCAAAGGTTATGGGGATAAGACAGGAAAATGGAGTTGAGGATTGTCAGATCAGCCATGATCTCAATGAATGGCAGAGCAGGCTTGATGGGATGAATGGCTACTTCTGCTCCTCTGATAAATGTAGCACAGTTCCATTAGGTACAATCAAGAAGTTTGTTAAATCCTGGGAAAGATTTAAAAACACGGAAACAGGAGATGGAGTTTGATTACTTTGCCCCCAGGACTACTATGACTGATCTAAATTTCAGGTTTGCAAACCAATTATCTGTAAAGTCTTTTCTAAAAAAAAAGATTCATTAGTACGGGACAAATATGTTTTAAGAAAACATTCAAATCCCCATAGTTGATGACTCAGTACTCCAACACGCTGAACACCAACTGAAAGTATCATGAGAATAGCACGGACACAACAAATACTCCGGTGGGGGGGTGGGGTGGTGCTGATCAGTGGGCCAAGTTTTAAATGACAGTTTTGGGCGGAGTTGGAGCAGGTGGTGAGGGAAACAAGAGGGGGAAAAAGTCTTACTTGATCTTGCCCTTACTTATCCAGTTGTTGCAAATGTCTCTGATCATATCAGTAGGCACCAGAACCACTCAGCCCCAGGTGAAAACAAAGTCCCACCTTCACACTGGCAGTACACGCCATTGCATTGTGTCATATTACCACTGTGTTAAATGGGATAAACTTCAAACAGATCTGGCAATTTAAAGCTCAACATCCACAAGGTACTATGGGCTGTAAGCAACAACAAAAATGGTACAAAAACAAAAGTTGCTGGAAAAGCTCAGCAGGTCTGGCAGCAGCTGTGAAGGAAAAAACGGAGTTAACGTTTCGGGTCCAGCGACCTTTCCTCAGAACTTTTCCGAAACGTTAACTCCGTTTTTTTCCTTCACAGCCGCTGCCAGGCCTGCTGATCTTTTCCAGCAACTTTGTTTTTGTTCCTGATTTACAACATCTGCAGTTCTTTCAGTTTTTAACAACAGAAAGGTATTCAATCACAATGTGAAAGCTCACTGCCTGGGACATATCATAGCCTATCATTACCATCAAGCCAAGAGATCAATCCTGGTTCAAAAGAAGAGTGCAACGGGCTTTCCAGCAGCAGCACCAGCATAAGAAACAAAAAAAGCACCATGCTGGTAAAACTACAGCTAATGACGATTTGCATGTAAAATAGCAGAAATAAAACA